AACACACACCACCACACTTGGCTAAGTTTTTGTATTTTTAGTAGAGACAGGGTTTCACCATGTTGGCCAAGTTGGTCTTGAACTCCTGACCTCAAGCAATCCACCGGCCTTGCCTCCCAAGTGCTGGGATTACAGGCATAAATCACCATGCCCAGCTGGACTCTGTCTTAAAAAACTAAAAAAGGCCAGGTGAGGCTGAGGTGGGAGGATGGCTTGAGCCCAGGAGGTCAAGGCTGTAGTGAGCTGTGATAGTGCCACTGCACTCCAGCCAGGGTGACAGACCAAGACCCTGTCTCAATAAATTAATTAATTAATTAATAATAAGGCCAGGCGCGGTGGCTCATGCCTATAATCCTAGCACTTTGGGAGGCCGAGGCAGGAGGATCACAAGGTCAGGAGTTCGAGACCAGCCTGGCCAACATGGTGAAACCCTGTCTCTATTAAAAATACAAAAATTAGCCAGGCATAGTGGTGCATGCCTGTAATCCCAGCTACTCGGGAGGCTGAGGCAGAAGAATTGCTTGAACTCGGGAGGCAGAGGTTGCAGTGAGCCGAGATCGCGCACCACTGCACTTTAGCTTGGGAGACAAAGCAAGACGTCATCTCAAAATAAATAAAATAAAATAATAACAATAATAAATAATAAATAAATAAATAAAACACATATATGCCTTTGCCTCCCACACTCCCTTCTCTTCAGAGGAAATTTGCTCGGGTGCGACTTGCTCCCATCTAACTTTCTTTTTTTTCTTTTTTTTTTTGGTGTGTGTGTGTGATGGAGTCTTGTTCTTACTGCCCAGACTGGAGTGCAGTGGTGCAATCTCAGCTCACCGCAAACTCTGCTTTCCGGGTTCAAGCGATTCTCCTGCCTTAGCCTCCTGAGTAGCTGGGACTACAGGTGTGCACCACCACTCCGGGCTAATTCTGTATTTTTTTTAGTAGAGACGGGGTTTCACCATGTTGGTAAGGCTGGTCTCAAACTCCCGACTTCGGGTGATCCGCCCACCTCGGCCTCCCAAAGTGCTGGGATTACAGGTGTGAGACACCGTTCCCGGCCCTTCCAAGCTCCTTCTAAAGTGCAAGGGTTGAAAACACCAGCATAGACTGGTGTCTGGGAAATGCAATTTTCCAATATTATCAGTAAATACTAAAGAAACACTGTTGCAAAGCGTGACTTGGTGAGCCCTAATAATATGTCTATTAAAGGTCTTCTTTGTTCTAAGAGAGATTCATTACAAACAGAAAACATGATCCGAACCACAGAAATGAACTGTTAAATAGTAAAGAGTTTTTTAGTGGCATTTTATAGGATAAATTAAAAGCATGACACCATGTAAAGAACTATACAAACAAACAGATGAATACTCAAGTCATCTAAATACATCAGCAGTAAAGACCAAAAAGAGGGGGGGTGGAGGGAACCAAATGCTGATCTTAGTGTTTTACAATATTGTAGGACATGTGGTAGGGCAAAACAAAACAAAACAAAACAAAGCATACAAAATCATTCCCCCATTCACAACACACAAGCAGGCATGAGTCTGCAACAATGCTGACTCCTTTCTCTACACTTGTGCATCTTTTTTTTTTTTTTTTTTTTTTTTGAGACGGAGTCTCGCTGTGTCGCCCAGGCTGGAGTGCAGTGGCCGGATCTCAGCTCACTGCAAGCTCTGCCTCCCGGGTTTTTACGCCATTCTCCTGCCTCAGCCTCCCGAGTAGCCGGGACTACAGGCGCCCGCCACCTCGCCCGGCTAGTTTTTTGTATTTTTTAGTAGAGACGGGGTTTCAGCCGGGCGCGGTGGCTCAAGCCTGTAATCCCAGCACTTTGGGAGGCCGAGACGGGTGGATCACGAGGTCAGGAGTTCGAGACCATCCTGGCTAACACAGTGAAACCCCGTCTCTACTAAAAAAATACAAAAAAAAAAAACTAGCCGGGCGAGGTGGTGGGCGCCTGTAGTCCTGGCTGCTCGGGAGGCTGAGGCAGGAGAATGGCATAAAAACCCGGGAGGCAGAGCTTGCAGTGAGCCGAGATCCGGCCACTGCACTCCAGCCTGGGCGACACAGCGAGACTCCGTCTCAAAAAAAAAAAAAAAAAAAAAAAAGAGACGGGGTTTCACCGTGTTAGCCAGGATGGTCTCGAACTCCTGACCTCGTGATCCGCCCGTCTCGGCCTCCCAAAGTGCTGGGATTACAGGCTTGAGCCACCACGCCCGGCCCACTTGTGCATCTATACTCTGACCTCATTAATCAGACTCCACAAAAGCCCAAATTTCTGATAAACTGAGCACATGATGTGTAATGCTTTGGTGAATAAAAATTTCAAAACAATTTTTACCTTTGGATAGTACCTCAGCATATGACTAATGGGTATTCAGTCTAAAATCAATTTTTACTTATTTATTTATTTATTTATTTACTTACTTAGACGCAGAGTCTCACTCTGTTACCCAGGCCAAAGTCAGTGGCAAAATCATAACTCACTGTAGCTTCGAACTCCTGGGCTCAAGCAATCCTCCTACTTCAGCCTCCCAAGTAGCTGGGACTACAGGCACATGCTACCATGCCCAGCTAACTTTTCCTTCCTTCCTTCCTTCCTTCCTCCCTCCCTCCCTTCTCTCTCTTTCTTTTATTTTCTATTTTTTATTTTTTATTTTTTTATTGAGACGAAGTCTTACTCTGTCACCCAGGCTGGAGTGCAGTGGCGTGATCTCAGCTCACTGCAACTTCCAACTCCCGAGTTCAAGTGATTCTCCTGCCTCAGCCTCCCAAGTAGCTGGGATTACAGGCATGTGCCACCATGCCTGGCTAAGTTTTGGGGTTTTTTTTGTTTGTTTGTTCTTGGTTTGTTTTTTTTGTTTTTTTTTTTTTTTTGAGACGGAGTCTCGCTCTGTAGCCCACGCTGGAGTGCAGTGGCGGGATCTCAGCTCACTGCAAGCTCCGCCTCCCGGGTTCACGCCATTCTCCGGCCTCAGCCTCCCGAGTAGCTGGGACTACAGGTGCTGCCACCTCGCCCGGCTATTTTTTGTATTTCTTAGTAGAGATGGGGTTTCACCGTGTTAGCCAGGATGGTCTCGATCTCCTGACCTCGTGATCCGCCCATCTCGGCCTCCCAAAGTGCTGGGATTACAGGCTTGAGCCACCGCGCCCGGCCTTTTTTTTTTTTTTGAGACGGAGTCTCGCTCTGTCGCCAGGCTGGAGTGCACTGGCGCAATCTCAGCTCTCTGCAACCTGCAACCTACACCTTCCAGGTTCCAGCGATTCTCTTGCCTTAGCTTCCTGAGTAGCTAGGACTACAGATGCATGCTACCACACCCAGGTAATTTTTTTTTTTTTTTTTTAGTAGAGATGGAGTTTCACCGTGTTGGCCAGGCTGGTCTCCAACTCCTGACCTCAGGTGATCCGCCCACCTCGGCCTCCCAAAGTGCTAGGATTACAGGCGTGAGCCACTGCACCCAGCTTGTATTTTTTTTGTTTGTTCATTTTTTTGAGATGCACTCTCACTCTATCGCCTAGGCTGGAGTGCAGTAGCATGATCTCGGCTCACTGAAACTTTTGCCTCCTAGGTTCGAGCAATTCTCCTGCCTCAGCCTCCTGAGTAGCTGGGATTACAGGTGTGCACCACCACACCCAGCTAATTTTTTTATTTTAATAGAGACAGGGTTTCACCATGTTGGTGGTCAGGCTGGTCTCAAACTCCTGACCTCAAGTGATCTGCCCGCCTCGGCCTCCCAAAGTGCTGGGATGACAGGTGTGAGCCACCGCACCTGGCTATTTTCTACTTTTTTGTAGAGATGGGTTCCTACTACAGACTGGTCTGGAACTCCTGGCCTCAAGTGATCAGCATGCCTCAGTCTCCCAAAGTGCTGGGATTATAGGCATAAGCTGCCACACCCAGCCTATATATTTTTAAACAGAGATGGAGTCTCACTACATTACCCAGACTGGTCTCAAACTCCTGGGCTCAAGTGATTTCTCAGCCTCCCAAAATGCAGTGATCATGGGCATGAACCACCACACCTGGTCTTCAATTTTAGTCTATCTGTTATTTTATTTTATTCTGATTTAATACTATAATGTATGCTTTTTATTTTCTCAAACATATTTACTCCCATCTCCTTTTATGAGATGGATGGGGTAGTTATTATCTGCTACTCCTACCCTATATTATACAACAGGAAATTGAAGCAGGGTAAAATCTAGTGGGATTGGCCATAATCACTCGGCTTTCACTGACAAGCATACCATCCACCTTCTCTCATGGGACCTCACTCCCTGCCCCCTGTCCCGCCACCCCCAAGCAAGCCTGAACTACATTAACAAAGGCAGGACTGCGGCCTCAACACATACTGAGCAGCAGGGTAGAGCAACCATCCCTCATCACTGTTATCAGCCATCTACCGTGAGCTCAGCTTACAGCAAGTCCTTACATGTTACCTCATTTGACTCCCAACAAACCTTAAGAAGGCGTTGGGGCCGGGCGCGGTGGCTCAAGCCTGTAATCCCAGCACTTTGGGAGGCCGAGATGGGCAGATCACGAGGTCAGGAGATCGAGACCATCCTGGCTAACACGGTGAAACCCCGTCTCTACTAAAAAAATACAAAAAACTAGCCGGGCGCGGTGGCAGGCGCCTGTAGTCCCAACTACTCGGGAGGCTGAGGCAGGAGAATGGCGTGAACCCGGGAGGCGGAGCTTGCAGTGAGCTGAGATCCGGCCACTGCACTCCAGCCTGGGCAGTAGAGTGAGACTCCGTCTCAAAAAAAAAAAAAAAAAAAAGAAGGCGTTGGGTATTATCACTCCCTGGTCCTACTGAAGTAACCAAGTCTCTCAAATTTGATCACAGTTCCACGGCTACTACATGCAAAGCCAACCTTAGAATCCAGGTTAGTCCGGCTTTAAAACCCATGCCCTTAAGCACTCAGCTATTATACAACTGGATGATGCGTCTCAGGACAGCTCTGCAATTCCCTACACACTAGGACACCCCCAGCTCCTCACTTACTTGACGGCCCCAACATCCTCGGCATAACGCTGCATCTCTTCCCGGGCCCTCTCTTCTCGCAGCTCCCGCTGAAGCTCCTCAATCTTCTTCCGCTCAGCCTCATGCTTCTGCTCGGCCTTCCACACTTTCTCCACATTCCGGAGGGTCTGCGGGTGCCAGCTCTTCTTCAGATTCTGTGATAAATAAAAAGAAGGTGAGAATAACTCCAGGGGTGACTGAGTGGCGGGTGTAACTAGCCCTGCCTCACCCACCCTTCCATACCCAAGGCAGGCAAGATGTCTTCATCAATGACAAGGTTTTCTTCCAATAATCTCTCACACATCTAGAGGGGAAGGGGAGGTTGTTCAAGTGTATAAAGCTTCAGGACAGGTCGGGCGCAGTGGCTCACACCTGTAATCCCAGCACTTTGGGAAGCGGAGGCGGGCAGATCACTTGAGATCAGGAGTTTTAGACCAGCCTGGCCAAAATGATGAAACGTCTCTACTGGAAATACAAAAATTAGCTGGGCGTGGTGGCACGTGTGCATGTAGTCCCAGCTATTCAGGAGGCTGAGGCAGGAGAATCACTGAACCAGGAGGCGGAGGTTGCAGTGGGCCGAGATTGTGCCGCTGTACTACAGCCTAGGCGACAGAGCAAGACTCTGTCTCAAAACAACAAGAACAACAACAACAAGAAAGCTTCAGGATAGAACAGGTCTTTCCTGAGTTCCCTTCAGACAGTTTTAACCTTAAAAGCATACAAGTCATCCTTCCACTAGCCATACCTAAATTGGAGCTGGTGATGACAAGACAGGAGGAATGCAGTAATGAGCAGGAAGGCACATATTTTGAAAGAGAACAGAACTCATGCACTTCTGACACTGGATATTCATTCTTTTAGTCTTGCTCTGTCACCCAGGCTGGAGTGCAGTGATCTCGGCTGACTACACCCTCCACCTCCCGGGTTCCAGTGATTCTCTTGCCTCAGCCTCCCGAGTAGCTGGGACTATAGGTATGCCACCATGCCTGAGTAATTTTTGTATTTTTTAGTAGAGATGGGATTTCACCATATTGGCTAGGCTGGTCTCAAAACGCCTGACCTCATGATCTGCCTGCCTTGGCCTCCCAAACTGCTGGGATTACAGGAGTGAGCCACCGTGCCCAGTCTTTTTTTTTTTTCTTGAGACAGAGTTTCGCTCTTATTGCCTAGGCTAGAGTACAATGGCAGGATCTCAGGTCATGGCAACCTCTGCCTCCTGGGTTCAAGTGATTATCTGCCTCAGCCTCCTGAGTAGCTGATTACAGGCATGAGCCACCATGCTCGGCTAATTTTGTATTTTTAGTAGAGATAGGGTTTCTCCATGTGGGTCAGGCTGGTCTCAAACTGTCGACCTCAGGTGATCTGCCTGCTTCAGCCTCCCAAAGTGCTGAGATTACAGGCGTGAGCTACCATGCCTGGCATGGACATTCATTCTTAGGAACTCAACCTACCTTACCTTGGTCTACTTCACCTGCCCTAAACTTGCATGGTTTACAACCCACCCAGAATCTCTTCCAACTTTCCTTCCCAGGAATCTCTCCTTGATTCTGATCTCCCCATTCACCCTCAAAGAACACTTCTCTCTCTCCTCCCCATCAGATACTGCTTTGGTGCACTTTCCCAATAATGAAAAGTTTCCCAGAGTAAGTAATATCTAAGGACAATTATAAACTAGCCTGGTGACATGTGAAAGGGAGATGAGGGGGGCAGATTTCCAGAGAGGAACAGTACAGACAAATGCAGTCCCAGTGGTGAGAAAGAACATAGCAGGAATAATTCAGTGTGGCTGGAGATGTGGCAAGCTGATGGGGCAGGGACACAAGAAGAAGCCAAGTGAGAAAGGAGCAAAAGGAGCAGAATAAGGGCCTTATAAGCCATGTAAAGGGATTACAGGCATGCACCGCATGTCTGGCCAATTTTTTTTTTTTTTTTTTTTTTAGATGGAGTCTCGCTCTGTCACCTAGGCTAGAGTGCAGAGGCACACTCTCAGCTCACTGCAAGCTCCAACTCCCAGGTTCACGCCATTCTCCTACCTCAGCCTCCTGAGTAGCTGGGACTACAGGCATACGCCACCATGACCGGCTAATTTTTTGTGTGTTTTTAGTAGAGACAGGTTTCACCGTGTTAGCCAGGATGGTCTCAATCTCGTGACCTCGTAATCCACCTGCCTCGGCCTCCCAAAGTGCTGGGATTATGGGCGTGAGACACCGTGCCCGGCCAATTTTTGTATTTTTACTAGAGATGGGGTTTCACCATGTTGGCCAGGATGGTCTTGATTTCCTGACCTCAGGATCCGCCCACCTAGGCCTCCTAAAGTGCTGGGATTACAGCCGTGAGCCACCGCGCCCAGTGTGACTCCATCTTTTTTTTAACTTTTTTTTTTTTTTTAAACGGAGTCTTACTCTGTCACCCAGGCTAGAGGTGCAGTGGTACAATCTCGGCTCACTACAACCTCCACCTCCTGGGTTCAAGCGATTCTCCTGCCTCAGCCTCCCAAGTAGCTCGGATTACAGGCACCCGCCACCACTCCCAGCTAATTTTTGTATTTTTAGTAGAGACGGGGTTTCACCATCTTGGCCAGGCTGGTCTTGAACTCCTGACCTCGTGACCCACCCGCCTCAGCCTCCCAAAGTGCTGGGATTATAGGCATGAGCCACCGCACCTGGCCAAGACTCCATCTTAAAAAAAAAAAGAATCGACTGGAGAGGGCCAGGATTGAGACCAGGAGACCAGTTAAGAAAATAAGATCATGTCCACAAGGTACTTGGCATGTGGAAAATGTTCAGTCAATGAGAGTTCCCTTTTCTTCCTTTTCTCTTCCCCTCCTTGTCCTGCCTCTCCCCTTTGTCAGGTCATTGAGTTGGTCGGTTGTGTATCGGTCCGTCAGTTGGTCCGACCATCCATCCATCCTTCCGTCCTTCCTCCCTCACTCCCTGCCTCTTTCTCCCTCTAACCCTTCCCATCTTGTCCTCCCTGCCTCAAGTATAGATGATTTTGCTTCTCAAGGACAAAAACTTCTAGAGTCATTTTTGGCTGTCAAAACTGGTGGAGGCAGGTGTTAGTGGACAGACTCCAGTCGAGTGGCTAGAGGCCAGGGATGCTGCTAAACATTCTACAATGCACAGGAGAGCCCAACTACCACCACTACCACACCCCCCCAAAGAATTATCTAGGCCAAACTGTCAAGAGGGCTAACGTCGAGAAACCCTAGATTAGAGCTTTCCTGTCCTTAAATGCAGTTACCTGAAGAATACACTAAATTGGATCAAACTGGATGGAGTCCTGGCACTCACTGTGATTGAGAACACATGACAAACTAACAGGTTTACTGGGCAGGCCGCTAAGCTGATCTACTTGCTGGTTCAATTAGTTCCACTTTCGGGAGGCTGGCATTTTCCCAACCTTGCACCATGCTCTTGTAGGTACATTTACCCTATTTGGGGCCTTAGCCCTTTACAAATGAACGTTTCAGTGTAAGAGACATTGCCACATAACTTGTATTAAGTGGTATGAATTTAAAAAGCAAGCTCAGCCACTACACATCAGAACCCAGCATTGAAGGAGGTGTGGAAGTCAGAAAGATAGACAGGAAGATCCCTTCAGGCTTAAAAAGGACCCCAGGGCCCAGCACAGTGGCTCACGCCTGTAACCCCAGCATTTTGGGAGGCCAAGGTGGGTGGATCACTAGAGGTCAGGAGATCGAGACCAGCCTGACCAACATGGAGAAACCCTGTCTCCACTAAAAATACAAAATTAGCCCGGTGTGGCGGAGCATGCCTGTAATCCCAGCTACTCGGGACGCTGAGGCAGGAGACTCGCTTGAATCCAAGAGGGGAAGGTTGCAGTGAGCCGAGATCGCGCCACTGCACTCCAGCCTGGGCAACAAGAAACTCCGTTTTTTTAAAAAAAAGGACCCCAGGGCATGGCTAAGGGTAGGGTGAATGGGGCACAAACCACCCCTACTTCAGTCCAGGACATGACTCTGAACTCCCACCCAAGGAAGACAGCTGTGTGGCAAGACAAGATATACAAAACAAAGCGTAGTGACACGTCCTCAATATCTACCTCCTTTCCTAGCCTTGGCTCCATCCGCCCCCTCCCTGGTATTCCCAGAATTTACAGCCGGCAGGGCTGCAGTCAACAAACACACAAACACCACCTGTCACAGTTCGCGACACACCTCGGACTTTCCCAAACCTCAGTCCCATCCCTCCATTGCCCTAAAGATCCATCCCCTCTTCAGGGCAACGGCCCCCTCCCCGCGAAAGCAAAGCTGAGTTGCTATGGTTATCCACTCCTTCCTCTACCCCCACCCCCCACCCCCTGCCAATTTCCGTCCCGGCCTCAGTCCTCCCCCGCCCAGGCCTCCCTCCACTCACCAGGTCTCCGCCCCCCATGATGGTGGAGACGATTCCTCACTACGCGGATCTGGAAGACTTCGGCAGGATCAAGAGAATACGTAGAAAAATAGTCCAGGGGCTACCTCGCAGGCTCTTGTCCCAGGAGCCGTCGACTGCCAGTTTCACATACCGACCTACAGGCCACTTCCGGGAGGGCGTCATCTCACCGCGTCGGCGTCGCGGAACGATGACGTACAGGGCTCTGTCGCGCTGTGTGACTGTGGCGTCGCGTGCAGATTTCGCAGAGTTCCAGGCTTCGCTGTGGAGACCTCTGCCGTCGAGGTCTCATTTTGGCTGCTTCTGGTTGCCACTTTGTCTGATGTCCCAAACTCTCCGTTGAAACGCCACAGCTCTGTTCAGTGATGGGTTGCCGTGGGCCTCTGCACGCGGCTGTGTTGCCATGGCAGCGCACCAGGGCATCCGGCTCAAAAGCTCCACATAACTCGCTACTAGACGTAGCGTGGACCAGAGTACGCCTCCTCCCCTCACCCTGCACACACCCCCACACTCCAGTTTTCCAAAATGGCTTTGCGAACTGGCGCTTTCCTCAGACCTTGACTCACAGCAAATCCCCTTATGTCAGGCACGATCTCAGCTCACTGCAACCTCTACCTCCCAGATTCAAGCGATTCCCCTGGCTCAGCCTCCCAAGTAGCTGGGATTACAGGCACGCGCCACCACATCCGCTAATTTTTTATGTTTTTTTTGTAGAGATGGGGTTTCACCATGTCGGCCAAGATGGTCTCAATCTCCTGACCTCGTGATCCGCCCGCCTTGGCCTCCAAAAGTGCTGGGATTACAGGCGTGAGCCACCGCACCCAGCCTAAATATGACATTATTAAACACTAGATACATTTTATTTTTCTTGAAATGGGTCTCTATGTTGGTCAGGGTCTAAATATATCGGTTAAGCTGATCTTGATTCCTAGAGTCAAGTGATGCTCCCACTTCAGGCTCCAGAGGAGCTGGGATTACAGGCTGGAGCCGCCACCGTGCCTGACAGGAGGAATTCTTATTTGGTGCCAGCTCTCTAACATTTCTAAAATCTTCTAAATACAAAGTGCTAGGATTACAGGCGTGAGCTACCGCGCCTGGCCAATCTCCCTCTTTTTTATTCAAATAGTGTATAGTGCTGGGCATGGTGGCACAGACCTATAATCCCAGCTACTTGGAAGGTTGAGGCAGGAGGATCACTTGAGTCCAGGAGATGGAAGCTACAGTGAGCCGTGATTGTGCCACTGTAGTTCAGCCTGGGTGACAGAGTGAGACTCCATCTCTTTTTTTTTTTTTTTTTTTTTTTGAGACGGAGTCTTGCTCTGTCACCCAGGCTGGAGTGCAGTGGCCGGATCTCAGCTCACTGCAAGCTCCGCCTCCCGGGTTTACGCCGTTCTCCTGCCTCAGCCTCCCGAGTAGCTGGGACTACAGGCGCCCGCCACCTCGCCCGGCTAGTTTTTTTTGTATTTTTTAGTAGAGACGGGGTTTCACCGTGTTAGCCGGGATCGTCTCTCGATCTCCTGACCTCGTGATCCGCCCGTCTTGGCCTCCCAAAGTGCTGGGATTACAGGCTTGAGCCACCGCGCCCGTCCGACTCCATCTCTTTAAAAAAAAAAATTTAAAACGACTTTTTTCTTAAGTTACTGAGGATAGGAAAGGGAATAATTTTTTCACTCTGTGATTCGGTGTTTTTGTCTATCTCCAGTTAAATTGCAAATGTCTGCAGTACCCATTCCACACTTGGGACAGACAGACGCAAGATGTGAAGCTGGGCATGGTGCTCACACTTGTAGTCCCAGCACTTTCAGGGGCTAAGGTGGGAGAATCACTTGAGCCCAAGAGTTGGAGACCAGCCTGAGCAATATAGCAAGCCCTCCTCTCTACTTATGTTTAAAAAAAACAAAAACATGCCGGGCGCGGTGGCTCAAGCCTGTAATCCCAGCACTTTGGGAGGCTGAGATGGGCGGATCACAAGGTCAGGAGATCAAGACCATCCTGGCTAACCCGGTGAAACCCCGTCTCTACTAAAAAATACAAAAAACTAGCCAGGCAAGGTGGCGAGTGCCTGTAGTCCCAGCTACTGGGGAGGCTGAGGCAGGAGAATGGCGTAAAACCCGGGAGGTGGAGCTTGCAGTGAACTGAGATCCGGCCACTGCACTCCAGCCTGGGCGACAGAGCGAGACTCCATGGCAAAAAAAAAAAAAAAAAAAAAAAAACAACAACAACATTACCCAGGCGTAGTGGCACATGCCTGTAGTCCCAGTTGCTGGGGAGGCTGAGGCAGGAGGATTGCTTGAATCCATGAGTTTCAGGCTGCAGTGCGCCGTGATCGTGCTACTACACTGCAGCCTGGGTGACAGAGTGAGACCCTCTCTCTCAAAAAAAAAAAAAAGATGTAAAGTGTAAAGCTGAAGTACACCACCCAGAATGTGACATGTGCCCCTTACATTTAAGCAATAAGCAATTCTTTTTCTTTCTTTCTTTTTTTTTTTTTTAAGAGAGAGAGTCTCACTCTTTTTGCCCAGGCTGGAGTTCAGTGGTGCAATCTCGGCTAACACAACCTCCGCCTCCCAGATTCAAGCGATTCTGGTGCCTCAGCCTCCCAAGTAGCCGGAATTACAGGTGCATGCCACCATGCCCGGCTAATTTTCGTATTTTTAGTAGAGACAGGTTTCACCATGTTGGCCAAGCTGGTCTCCAGCTCCTGACCTCAGGTGATCCACCCGCCTTGTCCTCTCAAAGTGCTGGGATTACATGTGTGAGCCACCGCAGTCAGCCCTTTCTTCCCTCCCTCCCTCCCTCCTTCCCTCCCTTCCTTCCTTCCTTCCTCTTTCTTTCTTTCCTTCCTTCCTTCTTTTCTTTTTCCTACCTTCTCTTCCTTCCTTCCTTCCTTCCTTCTCTCTCTTTTTTTTTTTTTTTTTTGAGACAGAGCCTCACTGGGAGTACAATGGCGTGAGCTTGGCTCACTGCAACCTCCGCTTTCCTTTTCTCTTTCTTTTTTTTTTTTTTTTTTCCAGACGGAGTCTCGCTCTGTCGCCCAGGCTGGAGTGCAGTGGCACAATCTCGGCTCACTGCAAGCTCCAGCTCCCGGGTTCACCCCATTCTCCTGCCTCAGCCTCCCTAGTAGCTGGGACTACAAGCGCCCGCCACCACGCCTGGCTAATTTTTTTGTATTTTTAGTAGAGGCAGGGTTTCACCGTGTTAGCCAGGAGGGTCTCCATCTCCTGACCTCATGATCCGCCCGCCTCGGCCTCCAAAAGTGCTGGTATTACAGGTGTGAGCCACAGCGCCCAGCCTCCTTTACTCTGTGTCTTTCCTTCCTTCCTTGTCTTTCTTTGTCTTTCTTTCCTTCCTTCTTTGTTTCCTTCTCTCTTTTTCTTTTCTTTCCTTCCTTCTTTTTTCCTGCTTTATCTCTTCTTTCCTTCCTCCTTTCCTTCTTCTTTCTTTCTTCCCTCCTTCTTTCTTTCCTCCCTTCTTTCTTTCTTCCTTCTTTCTTTCCTTCCTCCTTTCCTTCTTTTCTTTTTCTGTCCTTCCTTCTTTCTCTCCTTTTCCCTCTCTTTCCTTCCTTCTTTCCTTCTTTTCTTGCTCTTTCTTTCTTGCTTTCCTTCCTTCCTTTTTTCCTTCTTTTCTTTTTTTTTGAGACGGAGTCTTGCTCTGTCGCCCAGGCTCGAGTGCAGTGGCGCAATCTCGGCTCACTGCAAGCTCCACCTCCTGTGTTCACGCCATTCTCCTGCCTCAACCTCCCGAGTAGCTGGGACTACAGGTGCCCGCCACCACACTTGGCTAATTTTTTTGTATTTTTAGTAAAGATGGGGTTTCACCATGTTAGCCAGGATGGTCTCGATCTCCTGACCTCGTAATCCACCCGCCTCTGCCTCCCAAAGTGCTTGGATTACAGGTGTGAGCCACTGCGCCTGGCCTTCCTTCTTTTCTTTCTTTCTCTCTCTTTTTCTTTTATTTTTTTTATTTTTTGAGACGGAGTCTGGCTCGGTCGCCCAGGCTGGAGTGAAACGGCACGATCTCAGCTCACTGCAACCTCGCCTCCCAGGTTCAAGCAATCCTCCTGCCTCAGCCTCTCAAGTAGCTGGGATTACAGGCGTGCGCCACCACGCCCGGCTAATTTTTTGTATCTTTAGTAGAGACAGGGTTTCACCATATTGGTTAGGCTGTCTCGAACTTTTTTTTTTTAGACGGAGTCTCGCTCTGTTGCTCAGGCTGGAGTGCTGTGGTGCGGTCTCGGCTAACTGCAACCACAGCCTCCCAGGTTCAAGCGATTCTCCTGCCTCAGCCTCCCAAGTAGCTGGGATTACAGGTGCGCACCACCACACCCGGCTAATTTTTTGTATTTTTAGTAGAGATGGAGGTTTCACCATGTTGGCCAGGCTGCTCTCAAACTCCTGACCTGTGATTTGCCCGCCTCGGCTTCCCAAAGCGCTGGGATTATAGGCGTGAGCCACCGCGCCAGGCCCTGGCCCTTCTTTCATGTTTTAATTCGAGGCAGCTTGGCATGTACTAAGTTTTCAAAAATACATACATTTCCATCTATACTCCGACACCCATCCAATTAGCAAATTGTGTTCACAGCTCTCAGACTCACTCATAGATTTAGAATCTCCTCAGGGACTTGATTTTTTTTTTTTTTTTTTTTTTTTTTTTGAGACGGAGTCTGGCTCTGTCACCCAGGCTGGAGTGCAGTGGCGCGATCTCGGCTCACTGCAAGCTCCGCCTCCCGGGTTTACGCCATTCTCCTGCCTCAGCCTCCCGAGTAGCTGGGACTACAGGCGCCCGCCACCTCGCCCGGCTAGTTTTTTGTATTTTTTTTAGTAGAGACGGGGTTTCACCGTGTTATCCAGGATGGTCTCGATCTCCTGACCTCGTGATCCGCCCGTCTCGGCCTCCCAAACTGCTGGGATTACAGGCTTGAGCCACCGCGCCCGGCCTCAGGGACTTGATCTTAATTGAAAACAAATGAGATCCTAGAGAGGCTTTTTGTCCTAAAGGTGAGCTGGAATGTGGGAGGAACAGTTTTAGCACAAGATCAAGTTGAAAGTTCCTTCATCTTTTCTGGTGATACTGTGGCTGACGGTATTTGCTGTTAAGTGGAATGGTAGTGAGAAAACATCACGGAAGGGGGCACCCGGATTCGGGCCGGGGACCTCTTGATCTGCAGTCAAATGCTCTACCCCTGAGCCATACCCCCTCTGTTCATTACAGGTTCCTTCCCTGTCCACTTATAGTGACTCAATACAATCAAGTTCCACCCACATGAGTTCTGGCAAGTTTTGTGTTCTAAAGCCCCACCTTCTTAATTATCCATCATCTGGTTTGGCTTTTCCATTGGCCACCAATAAATTGAAAGGGAACACTTGAAAAATGACATCCTGGGCCAGGAGGGTGGCTCACGCCTGTAATCCCAGCACTCAGGGAGGCCGAGGTGAGGTCAGGAGTTCGAGACTAGCCTGACCAAAACTGTGAAACCGCGCCCCCACTAAATATGAAATAACTAGCTGGGAGTGGTGGCAGGCACTTGTAATTCTAGCTACTAGGGAGGCTGAGTCAGGAGAATTGCTTGAATCCCTGGAGGCAGAGGTTGCAGTGAGCTGAGATCACACCACTGCACTCCAGCCTGGGCTAACAGAATGAGTCTCTCTCTCTCCTTCTCTCTCTCTCTATATATATATGCATATCTATACACATATATGTAGATAAACATACACACACACACACACACGTATATGTTTAGTAAAGACACTGTTTCATCATGTTGCCCAGGCTGGTCTCAAGTGATCCACTTGCCTGAGCTCAAGCAATCCTCCCATCTTGGCCTCCCAGAGTGCTGGCATTACAGGCGTAAGCCAAGGAGCTTAGCCTTTGCTCTGTTCTTGATGGAAACAATAGCCAGCTCTGACCTGGGGCTCTGCTGACAGCTGGGGAAGTGCTTTATTGAGGTTGAGTAGTGTGGCTCCTTCTTGTCCCACTGGTAGGGGAGAACTGAAGCCCCTCCTTTCAAACCTGGCACTCGTTGGTATGGAGTGCAAGGGTGTAGGCCTGAGAAGCCCTTTCTCCTCTCACCTCCTCTCCAGGGGGAAGAGAAGCCAAGGGCAGAACTGGCTCATTCCTCTAATCTCAGGGAAGAAACAGCACACGTGGAGACACAAATTAAATTTTTTAACGTAAAATAACATTAAGAGTTCATCTAAACATTTGTCTTAGAAATTCAGGTCGATGGCTAGGAAGGGAAAAGATGCTGTTAGAACAGAGGGAAGTGGGTGACCTCTCCAAAGACGGACGTGCTCCGACGGAGGGCTGGAGTGTTCCGGCGGTAGCCAAACCTTCCATTGAACCCATAGATTGGTTTCAGATCAGCATTGTAGTGGTCGTGCCCAGTCACCTGCTGGAGAGAATGCCCTTGGGGGCAAGGAGAGAGAGGCCTGAGCCTGCATTCAGCCCACCTCTTGGCTTCCCCATTCCCCTGGGTGTGGTATGGGATGCCAACCAGGCATAGTCACTTGCATTCCCCATGCCCACAGCTGAACATGCAATCCTCAAATTCCCTGAGCCTCTGGGCTGAAAAGCCAAGGGCTGGTGAGGCTGAGGGACAGAAGGCTTCCTAGAAATAAAACCCCACACCAGGAATAATTGCAGGAAAACTGTAAATGGTTTGTGCTGGGACAGGAAGGGCCAGAAATTCTGGGATTGGCAAAGCTTGCTTTTCTCCCACAAGAAATGAGAAAACTCTCACCCTTGCCTCTGACCCATGTGGAAAAAATGGATGAGATCAAGATCAATTGGGCCAAATGGCACAAAGTATCATGTGACTAGAGAAGTGACCCACGATGGTGGAGCTGGGCTGGGAGGAGGGTTTACCCTGTTAGAAAAATATCCCGGCCGGGCGCGGTGGCTCATGCCTGTAATCCCAGCACTTTAGGAGGCCGAGGCGGGTGGATCCTGAGGTCAGGAGCTCGAGACCATCCTGGCTAACATGGTGAAAACCCATCTGTACTAAAAATACAAAAAATTAGCCAGGCGTGGTGGCAGGCGCCTGTAGTCCCAGCTACCTGGGAGGCTGAGGCAGGAGAATGGTGTGAACCCAAGAGGCAGAGCTTGCAGTGAGCCAAGATCGTGCCACTGCACTCCAGCCTGGGCAACAGAGCAAAACTCGGTCTCAAAAAAAAGAAAAATATCTCTCAACTCTTTCCCATTGTTGTTAACTTGGGCCTGGAAAATGAGCAGGATGTAGCAGTGAGGGGAACAGGGGCTTCAGAGTTGGGAAGAGCGGAATCTTTTTGTTCATTTGTTTTTGAGATGGAGTCTTGCATTGTCGCCTAGGCTGGAGTGCAATGATGCAATCTTGGATCACTGCAACCTCTGCCTCCTGCATTCAAGAGATTATCCTGCGTCAGCCTCTTGAGTAGCTGGGATTATAGGTGCCCGCCAACATGCCTGGCTAATTTTTTGTATTTTTAATAGAGACGGGGTTTCACTATGTTGGCCAGGCTGGTCTTGAACTCTTGACCTCGTGATCTGCCTGCCTCAGCCTCCCTAAGTGCTGGGATTACAGGCATGATCATGAGCCACTGTACCAGGCCCAGGAAGAGCAGAATATTAATTCCAGCTCAGCCCTCTTGCCAAATTACTTTAACTAAAGAAACTTGTTTCCCTACCTGTGCTGTGGGGTTAGTGTGACGGTGAAAAGTGCCTAACAAATGGCTCGTGTCTGTAATGCCAGCACTTTAGAAGGCTGAGGCCAGAGGATCACTTGAGCCTAGGAGTTCAAGACCAGCCTGGGCCACATAGGGAGACTCTATCTCTACAAAAAATAAAAAATTAACTGAGTGTGGTGGTGCACACCTGTGGGCGCAGCTGCTCAGGAGGCTGAGGTGGGAGGATTGCTCAAGCCCAGGAGGTCAAGACTGCAGTCAGTAGTAATTGTGCTACTGCATTTCTTTTTTTTTTAAATGGAGTCTCGCTGTGTCGCCCAGGCTGGAGTGCAGTGGCATGATCTTGGCTCACTGCAACCTCCGCCTCCTGGGTTCAAGCAATTCTCCTGCCTTAGCCTCCCAAGTAGCTGGGATTCCAGGCGCGAGCCACCACGCCCGGCTAATTGTCTTTTTGTATTTTTAGTAGAGACAGGGTTTAACCAGGTTGGCCAGGCTGGTTTGGAACTCCTGACCTCAAGTGATCCACCCGCCTCGGCCTCCCAAAGTGCTGGGATTACAGGCATGAGCCACCACACCCATCCGTGCTACTGCATTTCATGCAATCCAGTTTGGGTGACAGACTGAGACCATATCTCAAAAAAAAAAAAAGAAAAAATGGGGCCTGACATACAGTACTGGGGCTTATTAACTAATATTAGGGAGCACTGTGGCACCATATGTTCGTGTATGTGAAGAAAACCTGGAAGGATGCAGTCCCTTAGCCTCTTCCCCTCAACCAGGCCTCGCTATGGCCCAGGAACCATGATGAGGCTGGAAATGGAGGCAGCACTTGCCTGTCCCTGCCCAATTTCTCCTGTTGAGGTATCTCTGTCCTTGCCCGAAGATGTGGATATAGTCTACAATCCAGCCATCCCTTCCTGTACCGCCATGATCCTGAAAGTGGGGAAGAGAATACAGAAGACTGTCAGCCACAATGCTGAGGGGGGCACGGTGCAATCTGCCCTGGGGTTTGCTGTGGGGAGAGGGAAGAGGTCAGAGCCTTAGGTAACTGGGGCAGACAGACTAAATATATTTAAGAACCAGGCCAGGCGCAGTGGCTCAGGCCTGTAATCCCAGCACTTTGGAAGGCCAAGGTGGGTGGATTACCTGAGGCCAGGAGTTCAAGACTAGCCTTGCCAACATGGCGAAACCCCATCTCTACTAAAAATACAAAAAATCAGCTGGGCATGGTAGCAGGCGTCTGTAATCCCAGCTGCTCAGGAGGCTGAGACCGTAGAATTGCTTGAACCCCGGAGGCAGAAGTTGCAGTGAGCCGAGATCTTGCCGTTGCACTCCAGCCTGGGCAACAAGAGCCAAACTCTGTCTCAAAAAAAAAAAAAAAGAAGAAGAACCTATTGCCTCTCAGGGCAGTTGAACTTGGCAGCTGAAGGCTCAGTCTCTGCTGCCAGACAGGCTGGGTTCTAACTCCAGCTTAATCATTAACAGGCTTTGTGAACTTGGGCCAATTACACAGCTTTTCTGGGCCTCAATTTCCCCATCAGTAAAAGGAGTATTGCTGTGAGGTTTGTTTTTTGAGACATGGTCTCACTCTGTTGCCCAGGCTGGAGTGCAGTGTTGCCACCTTGGCTCACTGCAACCTCCGCCTCCTGGGTTCAAACAATTCTCCTGCCTCAGCCTCCTGAGTAGCTAGGATTACAGACATGTGCCACCATGCCAGCTAATTGGCCAGGCTGGTCTCAAACTCTTTAACTCAGGTGATCCACCCGCCTCAGCCTCCCAGAGTGCTGGGATTACAGGAGTGAGTCACCGCACCGGCCTGCTGTGAGACTTAAGTGGTTTTGGTCAGATAAAGGGCCTGGCATAGTGAAGTTGTATAAATGTTATCTTTATTTAAATGAAAATAATACCTACCACAAATGGTGGTTTTGACAATAATACTTTTAAAAAATTAAACAGGTTGGTTGGGAGCGGTGGCTAACACCTGTAATCCCAGCACTGTGGGAAGCCAAGGCAGGAGGATCACCTGAGGTCAAAAGTTGGAGACCAGCCTGGCCAACATGGCGAAACCCCTACTACAAATACAAAAATTAGCCAGGTGTAGTGGCGCGTGCCTGTAATCCCAGCTACTCAGGAGGCTGAGGCAGGAGAATCACTTGAACCCGGGAGACAGATGTTGCAGTGAGCTGAGATCGTGCCACTGTACTCCAGCCTGGGAGATAGAGTGAGACTCCCTCTCAAAAACAAACAAACAAACAAAAAAGGCTGGGCACAGTGGCTTGTGCCTATAATCCCAGCACTTTAGGAGGCTGAGGCAAGAGGATTACTTGAACCCAGAAGTTTGAGACCAGCCTAGGTAACATGGCCAGACCCGTCTCAACAAAAAAACTAAAAGATTGCGGCTGGGTATGGTGGCTCACACCTGTAATCCCAGCACTTTAGGAGGCCAAGATGGGCAGATCACAAGGTCAGGAGTTCGAGACCAGCCTGGCCAACATGGTGAAACCCCATCTCTACTAAAACTATAAAAAATCAGCTGGGCGTCGTGGCAGGTGCCTGTAATCCCAGCTACTTGGGAGGCTGGGGCAGGAGAATCACTTGAACCCGGGAGGCTGAGGTTGCAGTGAGCCGAGATCACACCACTGCACTCCAACCTGGGCGACAGGGTGAGACTCTGCCTCAAAAAAGAAAAAAAATTAAAAGATTAGCCGCTGGGCATGGTGGCACACGCCTATAGTCCCACCTACTCAGAAGGCTGAGACTGGAGTATTTTTTTTTTTTTTTTTTGAGACGGAGTCTCACTCTGTCGCCCAGGCTGGAGTGCAGTGGCGCGATCTCGGCTCACTGCAAGCTCCGCCTCCCGGGTTCACGCCATTCTCCTGCCTCAGCCTCCCGAGTAGCTGGGACTACAGGAGCCCACAACCGCGCCCGGCTAATTTTTTGTATTTTTAGTAGAGACGGGGTTTCACCGTGGTCTCGATCTCCTGACCTTGTGATCCGCCCGCCTCGGCCTCCCAAAGTGCTGGGATTACAGGTGTGAGCCACCGCGCCCGGCCTGGAGTATTTCTTAAGCCCAGCAGTTCGAGGCTGCAGTGAGCTGTGCCACTGCACTTCCAGCCTGGGTGACAGAGTGGCACTTTGTCTCGAAAAAGAAAATTGGAAAGCTTTTCCACGGCTGGCTGCGGTGGCTCACGCCTGTAATCCCAGCACTTTGGGAGGCTGAGGCAGGTGGATCAGTTGCGGTCAGGAGTTCGAGACCAGCCTGGCCAACATAGTGAAACCCCGTCTCTACTAAAAATACAAAAAATCAGCTGGGTGTGGTGGCGGGCGCTTATAATCCCAGCTACTTGGGAGGCTGAGGCAGGAGAATCGCTTGAACCTAGGAGGCGAAGATTGCAGTGAGCCAAGATCAGGCCACTCCACTCCAGCCTGGATGACAGAGTGAGACTCTGTCTAAAAAAAAAAAAAAAAAAAAAAAAGAAAGCTTTTTCAAAATATGTATACCTTATCATTTTCAAGGTTTTAAATACTCAGGTTCTTCCTTTTCCCCTCCCCAGACTCTGGTTCCTTCTGTCGTAAAATTACCAGTTGATGCCAGTGTGGTGGCTCATGCCTGTAGTCCCAGCACTTTGGGAGGCTGAGATGGGCAGATCACTTGAGCTCAGCAGTTCAAGACCAGCCTGGGCAACATGGTGAAACCCGGTCTCTGTTAGTCCCAGCTACTCGAGAGGCTGAAGTAGACGGATCGCTTGAACACGGAAGGCGGAGGTTGCAGTAAGCCAAAATTATGCCACTGCACTCCAGCCAGGGTGACAGAACAAGACCCTGTCTCAAAAAAAAAAAAAAAAAGAAAGAAAGAAAGAAAGAAAAATTGGGCCGGGCGCGGTGGTTCACGCCTGAAATCCCAGCACTTTGGGAGGCCGAGGCGAGTGGATCATGAGGTCAGGAGATGGAGACCATCCTGGCTAACCCGGTGAAACCCGGTCTCTACGAAAAATACAAAAAATCAGCCGGACATGGTGGCGGGCGCCTGTAGTCCCAGCTACACAGGAGGCTGAGGCGGGAGAATGACGTGAACCTGGGAGGCAGAGGGAGACTCCGTCTCAAAAAATAAATAAATAAAATAAAAATTACATGAGTCAACACGTGTGACTCATGTGTGTCCATATACATGCACTGCACAGACCTATGCAAACAAACATTTGGGACTACACACACACACACACAAACCCCAAGATTTGTTCACAGAATAACCCCATGAGTCCTTCTTTTTCTTCTCCACACCACTGATGTGTAGAAACACAAATACTGGAAGCGAAATGTTGGGTGGGAATATTGAACCATCAGCAAATAGTCTCGGAATCTTTGTTCTGGGGGAGGTTAGCGGAGGAGTACTCTGCTGGGAAAGGGCCTACACCTAGACGGAAAAGGCCAGGGGGAAGAACTGAGGTCCGCAGAGGTTTGAGAGGTGTCCCTCCCTTCTGCCCAAAGAACCAGGAGACCAAGCCCCATGCCCTGCCACTATGATGTCACAGGAGGAAGGCGTCTCGCCCTGGAAGTCAAATCAATTCCCTTTGTCTTGCTCACTGAGGTCACACGGATTTTCGCGTATTTAGAGAATTTGCGGTGTGAGGTCACCCTAGAGGGCGGGTCTGTAACGTCACAAAGGACAAAGAGACCGACTGGTTTGGGAGAAGCTGGCTTTGAGCCCTATCCCCTTGCCTTGCAGAAACCCGGAATGAGTCTATTCTCAAATTCAGGGCTGGAAGGCCATTCTGTGAGCTCAGGAAGCTTGCGCTCAACACCTGTCCTCCCTCTCCTGCAGTCCTCCGGCTTCATTAAGAAAACTGGGAGGCGGTGGCGGGAGGATAGCGTGAACCCAGGAGTTCAAGACCAGTTTGGGTAACACGGCGAGACCCCCTCTCTACAAAAAAAAAAAAAAAAAAAAAAAAAAAAAAAATTAGCGGGGCGGGGTGGCGCGCGCCTGTAGTCCCGGCTAATCACGAGGCTGAGGTGGGAGGATCGCTTGACCCTGGGAGGTGGAAGCTGCAGTGAGCCGTGACCGCACCACCGCACTCCAGCCTGGGCAAGAGTGAAACTCTGTAATTACAGGCTCAAACGTGTAATCCCAGTCTGGGTAACATGGCGAAAACCCGTCTCTAGCAAAAATACCAAAATTAGTCTGGCTTCGTGGTGTGCCTGTAATCCCAGCTACTCCCGACGTAGGAGAATCGCTTAAACCCAGGAGGCAGAGGTTGCCGTGAGCCAAGATGGTGCCACTCACTACACTCCAGCCTGGGCGACAGAGTGAGACTGCGTCTCAAAATAATAATAATAATAATAAATAAAAATTTAAAAAAGAAAAGAAAGTAAACTGAGGAGGTGAAAGTGGCGGAGTCTTCTTTGTGGTGAGGACGCTGGAGTGAAGATTTAGGGAGGAGTGTGGGGTCTTCCAGGAAGCTCCTATACCTGATCAGTTTTCCGCAAAACGGGCGGAACCACGTGGCTCTGGAAGTAGCTGCGGGCGTGGTAGTCCTGCTGCGCATTGTAGGGCGGAATCGCCGACCACAGCTTGGGCCTAGAGCGCCCATAAGCGCGGGCAGTGGTGCTCACAGCCACCCCGTCCAAGATAAAGCCTTTCTCCAGTCGCAGGCGACACTCGCTCAGGTATGCCATCCCAACCACTGTAGCCTTGGAGGGCCTTTCTGGAGGGAATGAGGACCCTAGGTGGGGACACCCCTGTGCATTGTTACGTGATGTCAAGGACCCCTGTGACACAAACCCTATTGTCTCCACTCACCCTGGGTTGACCGGTGGGTCCTTAAGGCAGTGGGGGAAGTTTGCTTGCTTGGTCCTAGAGGAAGTTGACCAGAGACTGACTATGCAAGAGGAGTTGGAAAGTGAAGCGGAGGAGACTGGATAACTGATTGTGGGCAGTTTGTGTGCAATTAGGCCCCGTTCCCCCAGTTTTCCTTTAAGGTGAGTATTCTCTTTTCCCACGGTATTACATGCTATTTCCTCAGCTCAGTTTTGTTGAAAAGCTTGTACCTGGAATTGATCAGAAAGTTCAGATCGCACCTACTTCCAATTCTCATTTTACAGAGCTAGAGGTTCCCTAGGGAAGCTTAGAAAGGTTCCCTAGGCCGAGGCGGAGCTTGCAGTGAGCTGAGATCCGGCCATTGCACTCCAGCCCGGGCGACAGAGCGAGACTCCGTCTCAAAAAAAAAGAAAAAAGAAAGGTTCCCTAGGCCGGGAGCGTTGGCTCACGCCAGGAACCCCAGCATTTTGGGAGAACGAGGCGGGGCGGATCACTTGAGCCCAGGAATTTAAGACCAGCGTGGGCAATACAGCGAAACCCCATCTCTACTGAATAAATGAATACTTAGCCAAGTGTGGTGGCACGCACCTGTGGACCCAGCTGCACTGCAGGCTGAGCCATGGAGGTGGAGGCTGCGGTGAGCCATGATTGTGCCACACTCCAGCCTGGATGAGAGGAGACCCTGTCTCAAAAGACCGAAAAAAAAAAAAAAAAAAAAGGCCGGGTGCGGCGGCTCACGCCTGTAGTCCCAGCACTTTGGGAGGCCGAGACGGGCAGATCACGAGGTCAGGAGATCGAGACCATCCTGGCTAACACGGTGAAACCCTGTCTCTACTAAAACTACACAAAATTAGCTGGGCGTGGTGGCGGACGCCTGTAGTTCCAGCTACTCAGGAGGCTGAGGCAGGAGAATGGCGTGAACCCGGGAGGCGGAGCTTGGGGTGAGCTGAGATGGCGCCACTGCACTCCAGCCTGGCGACAGAGCGAGACTCCGTCTCAAAAAAAAAAAAAAAAAAAAAAAACCAGATTCCCCAAATCCAGTTAGCTGACTTCCAGTCAGTCCAGTTAACAATTCTCCTGCCCTACCCGAATTAACATTATTTATTTACTTATTCTTTTTATTTATTTATTTTGAAGACAAAGTCTCACTCTGTCGCCCAGGTTGGAGTGCAGTGGCTCAATCTGGCTCACTGCAACCTGTGCCTCCCGGGTTCAAGTAATTCTCTGCCTCAGCCTCCTGAGTAGCTGAGATTACAGGCGCCCGCCACTAAGCCCGGCTAATTTTGGTATTTTTAGTAGAAACGGGATTTCACCATGTTGGCCAAGCTGGTCTCGAACTCCTGACCTCAAATTATTAGCTCACCTCAGCCTCCCAAAGTGCTGGGCTTACAGGCATGGGCCACTGTGCCTGGTCTATTTTATGTTTATATATTTAAATATAAATATAAAATATTGGCCGGGCGCGGTGGCTCAAGCCTGTAATCCCAGCACTTTGGGAGGCCAAGACGGGCGAATCACGAGGTCAGGAGATCGAGACCATCCTGGCTAACACGGTGAAACCCCGTCTCTACTAAAAAATACAAAAAACTAGCTGGGCGAGGTGGCGGGCGCCTGTAGTCCCAGCTACTCGGGAGGCTGAGGCAGGAGAATGGCGGGAACCCGGGAGGCGGAGCTTGCAGTGAGCTGAGATCCGGCCACAGCACTCCAGCCTGGGCGACAGAGCAAGACTCCGCCTCAAAATAAATAAATAAATAAATAAATAAATATAAAATATTTTATAAATATTATATTTTATATATTAAAATATATATTTCATATATATATCTTTTTTTTGAGATGTCACCTAGACTGGAGTGCAGTGGCACGATCTCAGCTCACTGCAACCCCTGCCTCCCGGGTTCAATCAATTATCCTATGTCAGCCTCCTGAATAGCTGAGATTACATGCCCGTGCCACCACCCTAGACTAATTTTTTTTTTTTTTGAGATGGAGTCTCGCTCTGTTGCCCAGTCTGGAGTGCAGTGGCGGGATCTCAGCACACTGCAGCCTCCTGGGTTCCAGCAATTCTCCTGCCTCAGCTTCCTAAGTAGCTGGGATTACAAGCGCACGTCACCACACCTGGCTAATTTTTGTATTTTCAGTAGAGCTGGGGTTTCACCATATTGGCCAGACTGGTCTTGAACTCCTGACCTCAGGTGATTCACCACCTTCGCCTCCCAAAGTGCTGGGATTGCTGGCGTGAGCCATCACGCCCCACCACCTAGCTAATTTTTGTATATATATATATAATTTTTTTGAGATGGAGTTTCACTCTTCTTGCCCAGGCTGGAGTGCAATGGTGCCATCTCGGCTCACTGCAACTTCCGCCTCCCAGGTTCAAGCGATTCTCCTGCCTCAGCCTCCCTAGTAGCTGGGATTACAGGCATGTGCCACCACGCCTGGCTAATTTTGTATTTTTAGTAGAGACGGGCTTTCTCCATGTTGGTCAGGCTGGTCTTGAACTCCCAACCTCAGGTGATCCGCCTGCCTCAGCCTCCCAAAGTGCTGGGATTACAAGCATGAGCCACCGCGCCGGGCCATTAATTTTTGTATTTTTATTATTTTTTTTTATTATTATTTTAAGATGGAGTCTTGCTCTGTTGCCCAGGCTGGAGTGCAGTGGCGTGATCTTGGCTCACTGCAACCTCTGTCTTCTGGGTTTACAGGTGCGCACCACCATGCCCAGCTAATTTTTATATTTTTTCTAGAGACAGGGTTTCACCAGGCTGGTCTTGAACTCCTGACTTCATGTGATTTGCCTGCCTTGGTCTCCAAAAGTGCTGGGATTACAGGCGTGAGTAATTTTTGTATTTTTAGTAGAAACAGGGTTTCACCATGTTGGCCAGGCTGGTCTCAAAATCCTGACCTCTAGTGATCCTCCCGCCTTGGCCTCCCAAAGTGCTGAGATTACAGGGGTGAGCCACCATGCCTGGCCCCATCCCAATTATTTTCATCCGCTATTATTTATGCTTCTTTTTTTCCCCTCAAGACATGGTTTCACTCCAATTTCCCAGGCTGGCATGCAGTGTTGTGATCTTGACTCACTGCAACCTCTGCCTCCTGGGCTCAAGCGATTCTTCTGCCTCAGCCTCCAATTAGCTGGGATTACAAGCACATGCCACCAGGCCTGGCTAATTTTTATATTTTTTATAGAGACAGGGTTTTGCTATGTTGGCCAAACTGGTCTTGAACTCCTGAGCTCAAGTTATCAGCCCACTTTGGCCTCCCAAGCTGGGAGGATTACAGCCATGAGCCACCAGGACTGGCCTTATCTGTCCTTTAAAGTAACAAAACAGTGGGGGGATATATTACCATATTTTTCCTCCAGCTAATTTTCTTTTTCATTTTCCTTTAGTTTCCACATACAGCAATGGATCTAGCTAATTATATAAATTATATATTTTATTATTTTATCTATTTCTGAGACAGAGTCTCACTCTGTCGCCCAGGCTGCAGTGCAGTGGAGCCATCTAGGCTCACTGCAGCCACCGCCTCCTAGGTTCAAGCGATTCTCCTGCCTCAGCCCCCAGAGTAGCTGGGAGTACAGGCACCCATCACCACACCCAGCTAATTTTTGTATTTTTAGTAGAGATAGGTGTTTCACCATGTTGGCCAGGCTGATATGGAACTCCTGACCTCAGGTGATCCACCTGCCTTGGCCTCTCAAATTGTTGGGACTACAGGCGTGAGCTTCTGCGCCCGGCCGAGATGGAGTGTTTTTTGTGTTTTTTTTTTTTTTGAGACAGTATCTCGCTCTGTCGTCCAGGCTGGAGTGCAGTGGCGCAATCTTGGCTCACTGCAAGGTCCCCTCCTGGATTCACGCCATTCTCCTGCCTCAGCCTCCCAAGCAGCTGGGACTACAGGCGCCTGCCACCAAGCCCGGCTAAATTTTTTTATGTATTTTTAGTAGAGATGGGGTTTTACCGTGTTAGCCAGGATGGTCTTGATCTCCTGACCTCGTGATCTGCCCGCCTTGGCCTCCCAAAGTGCTGGGGTAACAGGTGTGAGCCACTGGGCCCAGCCTGTTTTGTTTTTTTCATAGAGACAGTCTTGCCCAGGCTGGAGTGCAGTGGTCTGATCATTGCTCACTGCAGCCTTGACCTCCTGGTCTCAAGTGATCCTCCCACCTCAGCCTCCAGAGTAGCTGAGACTAAAGGTGCACACCACCACACTCAGCCAATTTTTTGTGTGCCTGTAGCTAGACTTGATTGCTCATCTCAGCCTCCAGAGTAGCTGGGATAATGGGCATGCTCCACTAGGTCTTGTAGTGAATTTACTATTTTTTATATTTACTACTCTTTTTATTATGAAAGTATATGTTTTACTGTTCAAGTTCCAAGCTCCTATAAATCAGATCTGATATCTTGAATCCATTCTATTAAAACTTTTACCTAGAAAGAACTTGCAGGTAAATGATGACAAAGGAAAAGTATATATAAATCTGGCTGGGCGCAATGGCTCACATCTGTAATCCCAGCACTTTGGAAGGCCGAGCGGGGCGGAACACCTGAGGTTGGGAGTTGGAGACCAGCCTGATCAACATGGAGAAACCCCGTCTCTACTAAAAATACACAATTAGCCAGGCGTGGTGTTGCATGCCTGTAATTCCACCTACTTGGGAGGCTGAGGCAGGAGAATCGCTAGGACCCAGGAGGCGGAGGTTGCAGTGAGCTGAGATTGCCCCACTGCACTCCAGCCTGGGCACAAGAGCAAAACTCGGTCTCAAAATAAAAAACACTAAAAAAAAGTCTGGGCGCGGTGGCTCACGCCTGTAATCCCAGCACTTTGGGAGGCCGAGATGGGCGGATTACGAGGTCAG